CCTAAAAAAAAATAATAAAATTAATGATCAAAACTGGACAAAAATCACTTCCTTTTGATGTTAGCATTTGTTTATATAACCAAGCAAAAATAGCTAATGCATATCTGTAGATTTCTATAAAAACAGAGCATGTTTGGTTGCAAATTATTATTTAGTGATTTCATTAGAATGGACAAGTGAATATGTCACTTACCAGAGTTCGCCATAGACTAGAGGAAGCGTAATAATATAATGAACTTAAAAGGTTTTTTACGTGACGGAGACAGAAAGTAAGCATACAGTGCATAAAAACACATTTGATTGCCAAAAATATGTTCTAGATCACTTCGGCCTAATATAATGTATCAAAAGGGCTGATTTGTGACTTCTTCCAGTTGATCAAATGCAAACCTGTTAGATACGCAAAATAGGTTTTTTTTCTCGAGCGTGTGGGGGATTAATTCTCTGGACAGATGGGATAGAAGCAGGGAACCCCGGTAGCCGACGCGACACACAGAGAAAGTATCAGAATGATAAGCAGCGAGCAACGCTACAGCTGACTGCAGCAAGAGCTGAGCTCATGGGGAAAGTGAACTCAGTAGGTGTCTTGTCAGCCGACGGGGCCGGAACAGGTAGATAATAATTGGCAGAGAGAGGGAGAGGGGAATATACGGCTACGTATGTGAAGTTGGCCGCTACCCAACGACAGATGCAACAGATAGGTCACGATAGGTCACGGATGGAAGGGAGGCGGTGGCTGTGTCCAAACTGGAAGAATGAAGCGCTGCAGGTACAGTGGCGGCCAATGAAACTGCAGTAGGGTTAGAGAGGGGAGTGGAAATTTCCCAAATCTCTGATAGAGGGAATTGGAAGAGGACATAAAGAGTAGAGAAAGGAATAAGCAGTGGTGGCCACAGGTACTGTAGCAGATGAAGGATAAATGAGATGCATCATAAAGACATTTTGTTAGGAGATAAATGAAGGCTTAATGATTCAGTTGTGGGGTTATTGCACTAAATGAACGCCGGGTAGATTTGCTGACGTGCAGGAATTGGGTGAAACTGCTTTCTAATAGTATAAAATGAATTTTGAGCACTGACACTTGGGCCGGGAGCCTAAACTGATTTGGTTGGCTATTTTTGCTTTTACAAAGCTCAGCAGAAGGCAGTGTTGTAAGGATTTTCAGAGGTTAAACTGAAGGCAAAATGTTTCCGCTTAAGATGCACCGTTTTTATGAATTTGTTAGTGATTTGTAACTGATTCTGGCAAAAAGCGACTGTGACAGTTGGAATGGTTAAATGTTTAGGTCTTGTTGAAGAACTCATGTCAGAGGATTCTTCACAAACTACAACCAGATTCAGCAGAAATGTGGCCATGGGTGCAGACTATACATGTTAACTATAGTTTAGGACTGGAAAACTTCAGGCTGAGCTTTTCATATTGAAGTGAATTATAGTTTCTGATCTTTTGTTAATACTTAAAGGGGTCATATGACGTTGTTAAAAAAGAATATTATTTCATGTATTTGGTGTAATAAAATGTGTTTATGCGGTTTAAGGTTAAAAAAACACATTATTTTCCACATACTGTACATTATTGTTTCTCCTCTATGCCCCGCCTTTCTGAAACGCGTCGATTTTTACAAAGCTCATCGGTCTGAAAAGCGAGGTGTGCTCTGATTGGCCAGCTATCCAGTGCGTTGTGATTGGCCGAATACCTCAAGCGTGTGACGGAAATGTTACGCCCCTTACCATACTGTGATGCCGTGTCCCGGAGCGACGAGACAAAAACATTAAAACCCATTATAAACGAGGCATTTGTTGCATGAAGTTTAACCATCATAGAGTGAAAGTTTATCATTTGCGAGTTTTGTCTTGCCAATTTACACATTCAAGCAATTTTAAACTATTCAAGCAAAAGAGAACTTGAAGTGAGGCAAGATTAAGAAAGCACGTGAACACCGAAGACCCGTTTTGGCAAGTATTCTGGGTATTCTTAAGTCAGGGGTGCCCAACCCTGTTCCTGGAGATCTACCATCCTGCAAAGTTCAGCTCCAACCCTGATCAAACTCACCTGAACCAGCTAGTTTAATCTCTTAGGTAGCACTTGATGATTACAGACAGCTGTGCTGGAGCAGGGCTGGAACTGAAGTCTGCAGGTAGATAGATCTCCAGGAACAGGGTTGGGCACCCGTCTTAAGTGAACGTAAACAGCTGAGAAAGAAACCAGATGTGTGTCAGTATTAGGTCCGTGCATTTGGTCTTAAAAAGACAGCAGCCTATAAATACCTGCTTCTGTCTGCTAATCAAACAACACCACAGCTTTAAAGATTAATCTGTATTTAACTTATGCAGTGAGCACTATTGTGTTATTTTACACTTAATTATTACATTTCTGCACCTGAATACCACTGTTACTGACTTTATTTGCAGCTTTATGTTGTATTCATCTATGCTTGTAATTGCTCTTGTTTTATTACTGACTTTAAGCTAGCAGTTTTTGCTGTTGTATAGAAGTACTTAAAGTAAGCTTTCAGTAATAAATGAAAAGCAAAATAGTTTTTTTTTTGCTGATCCGAAAAATTATCCGATCTGTGACTCAAAATCCATAATATGATCCGAACCGTGAGTTTTGTGATCGTTGCACCCCTACTTTGCACACACGGATATTGCAAGACATATTAGAGTGGTAATGTTATTTTTGTTGTTTTTTGTTTTTTTTGGCTAAATCACGTTTTAGATAGGATGTCAACAACCGCTTAAAAATAACTGCATTTACTATGTACAGATAAGTACAATGATAATATGTATTATGTTTATTGTTCTTTAATTCTAACATTATAACATGAATTGCAGTGAAACTGTTATACAGTTTAATTTATTTATACCATAGTCCAGTGTTTCCCACAGACTTGCACTCTATTTGTGGCAGCATATGCAAATGCATTCTCTGCCAGCAGGAGGCGCTGTTGGAGTGATAGAGATCTAGGTTTCCCTGGTAACGGCTGTACACAAAGCAGCGCTCCGCTCACAAGCGCTGCTTTATCAGACATTACATGCAAAATAAAATGAAAATGACAAAAAAATGAACATTTTGTCATCATTTACTCACCCTCATGTCGTTCCAAACCTGTATAAGTTTCTTACTTCTGTTGAACACAAAAGAAGATATTTTGAGGAATGTGGAAAACCAAACAGTTACTTGTAGCCATTGACTTCCATAGTATTTTCTCCTGCTATGGAAGACAATGGCTAAATGATGGCTAGTAAATGATGACAGAAATGTAATTTTTGGCCGATGAAGTAAATGTCTATGGGCTTTCTGAGTCATCTACATGCTAGTGTAGTTCAAAATGTGCTTTTAGAAGATATATTCATTTAACAAGAAGTTCTTGTATCCTGTAGCTCAAACAGTAGCGCATGGGACTAGCGGACCTGAGGTTAAGGATTCAATTCCCAGTGAATGCATGAAGTGATAAAATGTACCTTGCCTGGAATGTGACTTGCTTTAGATAAAAGCATCTGCAAATGCATAAATATAAGTGTTAAAACACAGGTCGAAAAAAGCGGTCAAACATTAGCACAATGGGTTCATATCCAACTAGGTCAAATCAACTGGTTAGCAGTTTAAGCTTGACTCAACAAATGTCTTTAGACATGGCTATACTATTCAAAATGACTCATGTACAGCAATATCTCTGCATACTTCTTCATATGCTGATTGCTGATTAATTAGCTACTTCTCTCCAGTGATAGATAGATGATGTTGGAGCATGTTTTTTTTATATGTTGGCTGGTGCACATGCTGATCATCATACAATGCGCTCATTCTTAGCTTGCATCCCAAATCACTGCAGGTTCCTATTTTCAACATATGCATATTAAAGTGTATGTTGATGGTTGGGGTGTTCCTTAGTATCTTTTGCTGTAATATTTTGTCCCTATTTAGCTTGTATTCCGCATTGAAGAGGTTCTTAACCGGTGGGCTGTCTGACAGGTTTGGTGACAGCAGAGGAAAAAACATGCTAAACTACATAATTATGCATAGTTAGGCTAAAAATAGGCTTATTAACTTTTAAAAGGAGAAGAAGCTTCCAATATCTTTTCTTGTCGATGTCAAAGGCTTTGGAAATTATGAAAATATGGGATTTAGAGCAGAAATACCTCTTGTAATTGGTAGAATCTAGGCAAGATGTCAACTTAGACAGGAGGACAGGTCAAATAAAATATTATCCAAAATACATTTAATATGCCTTGCTGTAGTTTATGCATTTACATATTTGCTACTTTTTTATTCAGTCTTTGCCATGTAAATAATTTTGCGTATTGGTGAGCCTACACAGTTCATGGTAATCTACATACTAGTAGTATTAGACATTATGAATAAGTGTTTCAGGTCACTCACAATCTTTGATTTATTGTGTTTGTTACAGTTACAAGATCTACAAGGTGTAGTATGTAGTTTCCCCTCACAGCTGAGCTTGTGTTTTCTCTCTCTGTGGCCTGTACAAGTATAGGACTAATTAAAATAATTTAACCTCAAATAAACATTTAAAGTCCATGTATTTATTTATTTGTTAAGTAGCCGTGTAACAAGCGGGGTAATGTACATTCAGACGGTCATCATCGCAAAAAAAACCCTCTCAGGGTGGCACAAGCCCAGATCCTGATCACCCCTTCGGGGTTTATTTTGCGATAATGACCCTCTTATTGTATAATATCCTTTACTTAAAACCAATCTCAGACGTTTGCCGTGCACCCAAATAGACTATAATGACCTTGGGTTGCTTATGCTGTAGTTTTGCAGAGAATCTGTCATAAGGCTGGCAGTGAGTAGATGTGACATATCCCCAAGCATACAGTGGTGCTCTTTTTTAAAAAGACAAGAAGCCAATGTATAATGTGAAAAAGATGACTCTCAAGGTTCTTGATAGTATATATCTATATTTGGATTGAATTGAATATGTCCTACACCTACCTTGACTTGAAGGACATTTGTTTTGTGGATTTTGAGGAAAGTGTCTCCCTGCATGGATTGACTTGATCTGCCCTTCATTCTCACGGTTCCCATCTAGCATTCCTGCAAAGCAAGAATACAAGAACTGATAAAGTGAATACTTTGAATGCCGTTTAGGTTGCTATGGATAAAATGGAGAAATGTCAAAATAATCAGACATGAAAGGCTGGTAATGGGTTCACATGTCCTTGATATTAATCTCTTCCTCGTGTGCAAAAATAGCTAGCAGAATGCATTTCATAGAAAGATGTGTTTTTAAAAACGGAACTATTTTAAGGTGACACAGCAGCTTGTGAAACGCCCAAAAAACAGCATGAGATGCAACACAATGGCCAAATGCAACAGCATGCTGTCAGCACGCTAACTATAGCAGTACTACTGAAAATATCAGAATATAAACTTACATTAATTCAAAAGTTTGGGATTAGTACGATTTTTTTTGAAAGAAATTACATTCAGCAAGGAGGCATTAAATTGATTAAAAGTGACAGTAAATATATTTATAATGTTACAAAAGATTTCAAGTAAATGCTGTTCTTCTGAACTTCCTATTCATAAAAGAATCATGAAAAATGCATCACAGTTTCCACAAAATATTAAGCAGCACAAATGTTTTCAGCATTAGTAATAATAATAAATATGCAGTAAATCAGCATACTGGAATAATTTTTGTATCACAGGAATAAATTAAATTACAATTAAAAATTTAATTAAAATACATTAAAATAGGAAACAGTATGTTAAATTGTAACAGTATTTCCCTTAATAGTTTTTAATAAATTCAGCCTTAGTGAGCATAGTGAGATTAGCCTTAGTGAGACTTCTTTTTAAAAAATTCAGAAAATCTTACTGATACATATATATATATATATATATTAGGGCTGTCAGTCAATTAAAATTTTTAATCTAATTAATTACATGATGTGTCGATTAATTAATGAAATTAATGAATGAATGAAAATACCCCCAAAAGATTATTTAATGCTATTTTTGTGTTAAATGAGAAAGTATTAAGTAGACATTACAAATAGTAGCTTTAGAAATAAATATTTTATTTGATTCAACATCAAATTTATTACATATAGGGCCTAAACATTTAGGCTACAACGGCCCAATATAAACTATGGAAAAGAAGATCATTTGAGAAACATCTCAGTTTTTTTTTCTTCATGCAGTGGAAGTCATTGGTAACCAAAACAGCTTTGTTACCAACAGTCTTCAAAATACCTTTTTTATGTTCCACAAAAGAAAGCAAGTCATTCAGGTTTGAGTAAATGATGATATAATAAAAAAAAAATTTATGCCTTTATATTTTTTTTCCCTTTTTTCTTAAATAAGAAACTAAAACTGCCAACAGGTGGCGGTAAATGTCTTTATGAGTCTTTCATTTGATTTGTTCAAACGGCTGATTCATTCAGGAATTCAGTAAACAGCTCACTTTTGGTGCTTTTCCACTGCATGGTACGGCACGGTACGGTTCACTTTTGGGGGGTTTTCCACTGGGTACAGTACCTGGTACTTTTTTGAGTACCACCTCGGTTGAGGTTCCAAGCGAACCGTATCGTTACCAAAACTCTGCTGATCACTGATTGGCCGAAGAGAATTGTCACTACCTGCGTAACTGAACTTGCGACATGAGACACAACAGACCCGCTAGATTTAAATCAGTACAGCGAGCGAATGATCGAACGCAACTGTTTTGAATGAGCGCACCTTTTTTTAACAACCCAAAAATGGCTGTTTCATGGTCTTTTGAGGAAGTAGTGGAAACGCAAACCGAGCCAAGCCGAGTCGTGCCGAGCCGTACCACGCAGTGGAAAAGCGCCATTTATGAATGGGCTTTTGAATCATTGGTTCACACGATTCGTTCAGAACGCGGATTCATTCAGAAACTAAACACTCGTTATATTTTGGACAAAAACAGCACTCGTGTGATCTCCCTCTCTGCTCCTGTGTTATCATATTATATAAACATGAGACAAAAACTCATACAGGAGCATTTTTGCCCCAATATCTTAAATTTTAGGGCATAACTGCATTTCTGGAGTTGTTGCCCTGCATCATATTTGTCAGCAGTCGCTGTATGAAATGTAAGATGACGCGTTGAACTGACATCCCTAATACTCGCCTATGGAGAGTCCCCGTAAAACATGTAAGCCCAACATGTGTGTGTGTGTGTGTGTGTGTGTGTTATATATAAAGTCTGGAAAAACCTCAAAAAACTGAGTAGTCAGTTGTTCGATGACTAATAATGGCATCCATAATCTTCATAGCAAATGAATCCTAAGCTACTTAATTAAAAGCCAATATAAATCTCCATTCTGTTGTAGTCATTTCCAGGCTGACATATTTTAAGGAAGCACCAAATATATCTCAAAAACAATTCTCTAAAATGTCTCTCCTTGTTTGAGCAGAGAATCCCTTCTTGTCACTCAACAGCAAAAGAGATGAAAGCAGATATGAATTGTTTATTGCTGTCCCACTGTGACCCTTGTCTAACATCTTAGGAGATTTATTGTCTCCAAACTCTTCCCCCAGACCTTATCTGTGCTCTCCAGCTTTGTAGACACAGAATGTGTCTTCCAAAAAAAAGGTACCAACATTTGCAGAATCCTCCATCATCACCCACACACTAACCACACTGGTAGGAGGCTTAGGTCAGGGGCGTCATGCACTCGTGATTTTTGAGGGGGCACGTGTGTGTGTG